TAATCATAAGTCTATCATCTAGATAATTCATAACTCTATTACCTAAGTAATCATAAGTATATCAGCCTAAAAATTAAAGCTGATCATCTGATTACTAATAAGACATTCTAATAAATTACAATATTAGCAAAATATCATTTAAAAAATTTACAAATAGCCATTACTATATTAACCATTGATTAAAATGTTCTTTAAAATATTGGCTTCAATTGCTTTTAATTATGATTAATAAATCTAAAATATCGTCAAAATTCATTTATACCGATATTTTAATTTAATTTAATTTTTTTTTTTTATTGGCAGCCTCACTGGTATCTTTATTAAATCAAAGCTAATATACAATTACATTATAAACTATCTAAGTTATAGATATGACATTACTCAGCTTTCTCTATTGTCACACAAGTGTGGTTTGCCTCACCAGTTAAAGCTATTGCCTATACTAGAGAGCTGCACCAAGCTAGCCAGTGAAACTATAGCAAGATGGTTTCAATTTAAAAAGATTTTTAACTAAACTAAATTGGCAATTTTTCTCTTCTAACCTATTCTCCATTTTATCATAAACTAAAACTAATTTTTTATTAATAAACAATTCTATCTTCTTTCTCAATAAAGGGTTATTGCTAGAAATCTCTTGTTTATATTTGCGTTTCCTTTTTCTCTTCTTCCAATTAAACCTGTTCTTTCTGATTAAAGACCCATTTCTTAGGACCTTATGTTTCATAGCTTTGTGATCTTTTCCTGCTTCTTGAGAGCTTTTTCTGTGATCTTTTTCTGCTGATACTCTTCTGTAAGCTTTCTTTTCTTCAAAAAATCTTGGGCCTTCTTTTGGTCTTTCTGTTCCAGAGTCTTGTATAGTCTGCCCAAATTTATTTTCTTCTATGTTCTGGGTATAAGAGTCTTCTCTTTTTCTTTTCTTTACCTTCTTCTTTTTCTTTTTCTTCCTAGACTTTGGTTTTCTTTCCAAAAACTTTTTTTGAATTTCAACAAAGATTTTCTGATTCTTGAGGATTTCTACAAAGATCTTCTTTAGTAACTTCAATAATATATCTTTTTTCTTCTTTTTTCAATTTTTTGGTATCTTTCTGTCTATAAGCTATTGTATCTTGAATTGAATTCAAATTCATGCTTCTTTGTCTTTTAGGCATCTTAAATTCCAATGGGATTTCACACCGCATATCTATTTTGTAAGCAACTCTTTCTTTTTCTTTATCTATATTATGTTATTAGGTTGTGAGTCTTTAATACTATTTTGATATATTACTTCTATTAAACATTCTGCCAGAGTAGTTTGTACAATTTTTAGTTTTGTTTCTTTTTGAATCTTGTTTCACGATTTTGTTTCTGTAAGATCTAAAATGTCTTGTATTTTGCTTCCTTTTTCCTTTTCTTCTCTGATTTTTCTTTTTTCCTTTTCTCATCTAAATGCAGTAGATTTAGCAGATATTTTAAACTGTAATATTAGAGTTTTTAGTATTTTTTGGTTTTGCTGCCTTTGCTTTTGTTCTTGAAGTCTTTTACTCTAATCTAGATTTAACTTTGACTTTATTTCGGCAGCTTGCTTTTTCTTTTGTCGAACTTGCATCTTTTCCTTTTTTTTTTGGCTTTTCTTTTAATTTTTGTTGATTTGCTGTAATAGTCTTGACAAATTCTTTGAATTGTTGTATTATAGACTTCAGTACTGTTTTATTGTGCTGTTTTTGTCAATTTTTCCTTTGTTTTTGAAGTTTTTTCCTCCAGCCTAATTCTAATTTCGATCTTATTTCAGCATCTTGTCTTTTCCTATCTTCTGGTAATCTTCTTATTCTGTTAGCCATCCTTAATTCTATCATAATACCGATTATCTCTTTTTTTATAATTTTAACAACTGGGTCTTTTTTTTTTTGTATTGCTTTATGAAAAACTTCATGGTCTCTTTCTATAAATGCAAGTTCTTTATACTCTAATTCTCCTCTGTTATATCTCTGAAATTTTTCAAAAAGTTTTCTATTTGTGCTTCGGCTACTTCTTCTGGGATGAGTTTCTGTTCAGTATATTCTATCATTATCTGTTCTACTTGCATGTTTATCATTTCATGGGTTATTGCTGTTGTTATGTCCTGAATAGCTTCTAATAACTCTTTTTTTGTAACAGGTTTTTTACTATCTGCTTCACATGATTTGTTATTTTTTGGTTATCTTGTTTGTTGTTGCTACTTGTTGTGATTGTTTACCTTCATTGTTTATTTTTGGCATATGGTTTTTAGTGTATTTTCTTTGTTTATTTTTCATTACGTGTTGTAATTCTTGTATTACCAAAACAGATCTGCAATTCAGAATCAAGGCTGATTCTCTAAAAATTCACAAAGTGCAAAAAAATATCAACAATTTTTCACGACTTCTTTTATTTCTTTGCTACTTCTGTTCTTTTTACTCAAGTCTTTTAAGAAATTGAGTGTTTCTTGTAGTCCTCTTCTTCTTTTCTTAGAGCTTCGAGATTCATTTCCTAGTAGCTTTTTGTGTTTTTTGTAGTTTTTGTTAATTTTGTGTTTTGGAAAATTTGTGTTTTGATAATCAGTGGAAAGAGTTGATTTTAATTTAATAATTATCATTAGATATCATACAAAATGTATTTATTATATTGGTATAATATCGTATAATCTAGACAAAAATTATTTATTAATTAGTCTGTAAAATATTAGCTAATGATTAATTTAATTATCAAACTATCATTAAAAAATCTTAATAAAATCTTCCATATATCTTTTAAATGATATACTAATTATTATAACAATATTTGAATAATTTGTTAATAAAATTAACTGATATGCAACATATTTCCTAAAATCTTCAGGCTATCAGCTTGTTTTTTTTTACTATCAAATCTGTTATAAGCTATTATCCTATTAGCCTACTATCATCTAGGAAATTATTTTTGATTTTGACTAGTAATAATATTTGTTTTTAGATTATCATGGCTTGTACCCTGTTACAGTAATGATTCTCTTCTTCTTATTTCTTAATATTAACTTTATAACAGATTATAAAGATTTTTGTCTTCTGCTAAAATCAAACTGTTAATTTTGCCTATAAAGGTTTGAAAGTTTAAACACTAAGCTATAAAACCTAAACCTTATAAAAACTGTTAGATATTATATTGTGCTTCTTAAATAAAAACTAGTTTATCAACTTATACTCTATCTATAATTCAATATTATATATTTTATCTGCTAAATTAACATCTTTTACTATTACAAGTACTAAATTTGAATTATGATACCAAAATAGATTAAATATTAATACAGTTTATACAATTTAATTATTTCAAAAATTTAAATGAGCCATAGCTACTCTGGTAGGTTTAGATCATAAATAATTTCTATAACTTTTGAGTTAACAAAAGCTTTGTTTGAATCTCTAGTTTTAAATATAAAGTTTAAATAATATAATTTTTTTATTTTAATTTGTAAAAAAATTTAATTAAATTTTTATAAAAATAGAGGCATAACCTCACCTTTAAAGATTAAAAAAAAAATTTTTATAAACAAATCTTAAATATAGTATATAATAAATAATTATAAAATTTTAAATAAACAACTAAAATTATATTTATAACTATATATATTTTTATTAAATATATTGTATTTGAGGCCTCTAAAAATATCAGTGATTAAATACTAATAAAACTAATAAGCCAAAAAGGCTTAACCTTATTACAAAAAAATAAAATAAAATAAACTTTTGATTTTTAATTTAAATTTAAATTTAATAAAAATTTAAATTATTAAAAAAAAAATTGTGAAATATTTATTAAGAATTTTTAATCTAAAATCAATTTAAATATTCTTTAATTAAAAAATAAATTATATTTTTTTTAAAAAAAATTAAATCCAATATTGCTTTACAAAATACATATTTTATACAATAAATAATAATTTATTTTACAAAAAAATTATACGTACAATATTATTAAATTTTACAAATTTATTTTTATTAATAGTTATCAACAAAATAATTTTACGTAGTTAATAGTTTATACGTATGTGTATAAAAAAATAAACTCTGATAAAATAAATACAGTACGTATTAGAGATATATACAATATTTTATAAATAAAAATACTTAACATTTTTTCAAAATTATGATCTTTATTCACAATAATTAAGTTATTAAATATTACACTATTAAGAAAAGAAAATAAATAAGTATATAATAATAATTAAAAAAAATAAATTAAAAATTTACAATTATACGTATAATTTTTTTTTTTTTTTTATAAAGCAGCAAAGGTTAGCAAAGGTGATCGGCACTAGAAGGTATAATTCCAGACCTGCACGTGTGTAGTCAAGTCTATCGCTATATACTATTTTCAGAAAAACTACATTTTTTTTTTTTTTTTTTTTTTTAATATCGATAACAAAATTACAAAATAACTTTCAATTTCTCTTCACTACGGTTCTTTAAAAAAGTAAAAAAAACTTTTTACCAGTAATATGTAGAACTTTCATTTTTTTCAATATATAATAAAACAATAGTATAAAAAATCGCAAATGCAAAAATTTGACTAAGTAAATAGTACGTACAAGAAATTTTTGAACAAAAAAAAGGGATACACTATACTACGGAAAAGGGGAAATATGTATGTATATATATTTATATTTTGCATATGGACAACCATGTACAGTAAAAAAGGGTGAAAAAGATCACAGAGAAAAAAATATGTTCAGAAAAAAGGGTAAATTGGTTTTATATAATATAAAATGCTGATGAAAACCTTAATGGATTATGACCCACATTCGGTAATCACCACCAAAAATTAGTGTATAAAATATATAGTTCAATAAAAACAAAAGAAAATAAATGAATCGCAAAAAATTTTGCGAAACCAATACCAAAAAAAAAGAAACCCTACCATAATGCTAAAAAAAAAATATTGAGCTTGCAATTATATATAACAATGTAAGGAGTCTATAACCCTACGGACATCACCAAATTTATATTTTACAATGCTACCGTTTAAATTTATTCAGAAATGTGAACAGAACCAGTATGTAAATTTGTATCAGATCCAATTGCCGGTGAAGACATGACAGGGGAATTATTAGAAGTTCCGAGAGGAGTATGCGAACTGGTGGGTGTCAGAACATCGGCTGAAATACCATCATTAACGAGACCACCGTTTTGATTCTTTTGATTTTCTGTGAGGATCATAAGTTTTTCAACTTCTGATTATCGATGAGTGATGAATAATAAAATAATAGAATATTAATAAAAATAAAAGTTTATGTAACAATTATTAAAGATAATAAAATTTTTGTTTATCTTACTTGAAATGAGATGTTTTCCGTACGTATATTTTTTCAATGACTGCAGCTGAGGTTTAATTTTTGCGACAAGGAGATCTCGTTGATCACCATCAACTACATCAAGCATCTTTTGGACCACATAATTAGCGTATTGATCCTTCATCATTGAAATCAAAGGTGAAGTACTATAAATAAAAATAAAATACATTAGCATATATTAAATTAAATGTATTAAACGTATTAGGTATAGTACGTATGAAGTAAATAAATAAATATATATATATATACCCATCAGGTTTGGTTTGGATAACTTCATCAATCAATAATTGACGATCACGTTTGCTACCGTATGCAACACATTTTTCAACTACGTTGCTAGCAAATTTGTGTTTGGACATTTGCAAAACATTACCACGAACTTTAGCAACAACCATTGATTTATCGGCAGCTTTTCCACGTTCCAGAACGTGTTGTATAACGTAATTTCCGTATTGATCTTGTACCAAATTTTGAGTATATCGATGAAGTTCCTCCAGCAGAGGCTTCTATAAATAAATTTTAATGATCTCTTTAGTTCATTCCTCAATTTAAATTCAAGCAACAAATAAAATAAGGGTATAAAATAAAATAAATGCAGAGAATACATCCATACCGTTTGTTCATCGGTGCAATGTTCAAACATACGCTGAATTACTCTACAACCGTATGGATGCGTCGCAAGATTATAGACCTGCCCATGGAAAGCATTTATGATGAACTGAATATGTTCAGCAGGAACACGTTCAATAGCTTTTTGGATGACGTGATTTCCGTTTTGATCCTTGACACATTTAAGCACATTACCGTCCAGCTCTTTAACTAAAGTAGCCTGTTGCTCAGTAAGAACGTGTTCAAGTGCCTATTAAAATATATGAATTAATTTGATAATTAAAAATAAATTAGAAATTCAATTACATATAAAATTACAAAATTAAATTAAAGTTTAAAAAAAAAAGACGTTAGATTTTAAATACCTTTTGAACAACACGACATCCGTACATTTGTAAAGCCAAAGACAAGACATGACCTTCCATTTGTTTTGCCAATATTGTCTTTTGCATTTGGTTACCATGTTCAAAGAATTTTTGAATTACATAATTTCCAAATACATCAGTCATCAATTGAAGAGCATTAGGTAAAATTTCATCAAAAACTAACTGTTTCTCTTCACTATTAGCGGTTTCAAGTTTTTGTTGAATAAATCTTGAACCATGCTGATCACCACTGAATTCTACTATATTACCGACAATGTCCTAAAACAAATAATGAATTGTATAACAAATAACAATTGTGTAACAAATCATAAATTGTATAACAAATAACAAATTAACAAATTGTATAAAAAATTGTATATAAATAAATAAATAAATAAATAAATATAATGATAAAGTATTAAAAATACATACTCTAAGTTCGTATTTTTTATTTTTATTATTCCTGAATTCTTCTAATAGAGCACTTCGCATACCGTGACCAGGATCAGAAATACTTGAACTTAAATCATTACTACGACGGCCACTAGAAATACCGCCATAACCAATACCATTCAAATATTCAGCAGAATGATGATGTCTTAATAATTGTTCACGAGCAAGCATCATTTGTTGTTGTTTTAACTGTTGTTGTTGAAGTAACAGTTGTTGCGATTGTAATCGCAAATTTTTTTCTGCTAGAGAAGCACGAGTTTGGGCATTTAGTGTTGTACCACCTAAACCACTCACCGAGCTAAGACCAGAAGAATTAAGACCAGAACCATAGTATGGACTACTTTTTCCAGAATTATATTCAGATGATAATAATTGGTCACGACTAACGCCCATGGTACCGGAACCACCTAATCCAAGTTGTTGTTGCTGAAGCGCTTTTTGGTAATCAATAGAATTTCGACCAGAACTTAGACTTAAAGAACCATTACGCGAATATGTCATGTCAGAGGAAAGGATATTTCTATTTAGCATGGTTTCTTCTCGAGGATCCCATACGGACGAATAAGGATCTATAAATACATGTATAGCACATGTATAGTACATGTATAGTATATGTATAGTATATGTATAGTATATGTATAGTATATGTACGTATATGTCGTATGTGTGTATAAGATAAAATAAGAAGAATAATAAAAATAATAATAAGAATAATAATAAAAGAATACTCTTGAGACACATTAAATAAGAAATGATAATAAACGTACCAAGACCGTATTGAGAATAACTACCGGACGAAGAATTATCATTAAATAAAGAATTATACTGCGATTGTTGCATCTTTAAACGCTGCTGTTGCTGCTTAATTGCTTGTTGCTGTCGCATAATTTGCACTTGTTGAAGGGTATCATAGTCATCCTGTTTATATGTAATGTTAAGTAAAATAATAAATAAAAATAATAATACCAACGTAATAGTGGAGAAATTATTTCACTAGTTTAATTTCACCAGTATCTTTAATAGAAAATATAAGACATTAAAATTAAAATATTATACATACAGTTCCTTCAAGGTTTTTAATATTGTACAAGAGATCAGAATGGGAGAGATCACCATGAAATTCTTGAGAGAAATTAAGGCTATGATTACGAAAATGATTTTGAGTCGGAGGCGTTGACGAAGCACGAGGAGGAGGAGAGAATTTTGTACGAAGAGGGGGTGGTGAAGCACCTCTACCAAAACCTATTCGATGATCAAATTCTTCTACACCAGAAATCATAGATTTAACATGATTTTCATCGTTAGGATTGACACGCAAACTACTTTGATAATGGCTCGGATGGTTGAGAGATTCTTCGAGCTCAAGGGCGGAACGAAAGTCAACATCAAAGGCATCATTACCCAATTCAGCAGCTGCTGCAGAGTTTGCTTCTGCTAGAGCAGCTTGTCGTTGGCGGGCGTGCGAATAAAGAGGAGAAGGCGTCCTTGGAAAATCCTAAATAATATGTAAACCCATATTTAACTGCCTGAAAAAAAATTTTTTTCTTTGATTCTTTCATGATTGTCTTTTTTTGTGCAATAGTAATATATATATATTTATATATATTTAATATTTTTTAAGGGATAAAAGAAATACCTTGTCTTTATACTAACCTCTTGAATCATCTTTACGAGGTTTTTTCTCTTGTTCGGAGAGTGCAGATCGTTATTCATACCTTGAGGTGGAGGAGATGATAATTCAGACCTCCAAAGTGATGCAGCACTGCTAACACCCTGATTACCGAATTGTTCATATTGACCAGTATGCGTACCAGGATCATTAGAATAATCTTGCTGACCAATTGTTGAATGGGATTCCGGTTCTAAACTTTGATCCAATGGATGTTCGCGTAAAAAGTCATCGTCAGCATCTAAAATATTAAATGGAATGAATGAATGAATGAATAAAAGTTAGAACAAGTATTTAAAGGACAATTAATATTTGAATCGATAAATATAATAAATATAATAAATATGGGGAAATTAAAAAAATTCTATAGATAGCATTAACAATAAAGATATTAACAATAAAGATATTAACAATAAAGATATTAACAAGAAAGATATTAACAAGAGAAATGTTAAAAAGATAATAACAAGAAAGATATTGTAACTGTAA